CCTTTTGTGGCTCTCTGTTCTCAAACCCAGGTGGTACAGAAGTTCCTTGCGGAGGTTCCTGAGCTTGCGGCGTTCTTCCGAAGATGTCCTTCATATTCTCGGGAATCTCAAATGGATTTGAGAACGGGACAGCAGGATTAGGTCCTGGCTTCGGCGTGGCATATTGTCTGCCCGCTTCGTCCGCATTGGCTTCCATTCTTAGGGCTCGTTCTGCGGCAGCCAGTTCATCCTGCAGTCTGTCGTTTTGTGCACTCATTTCAGCGATTTCAGTAATGAAACGCCGTTCCATACTCGCTTCGGTTTCTTCAAGAACTTGTTTGAACCGGATTCCAAGAAAATCAAGATGTTGTGCTTTGTTGCGTTCGCTCTCAGTAATCAGAGTGGTTCTGAGCTTAGCGATTTCCGACTGATGTCGTTGTTGGAAAATTGATTCCAGAATGTTCATTTCATTCCTGCATGTTGCAACTTCGTTCAACAAAAACTTTTCCCTTTGGGATGCGTTGAACTCAAATTCCGCAAACTGTGCTTCGCATTCTGCCATCTTCACCTCATGAAGGCGCTCGGCCTGTTCAGCCATGCCAGCCATTCTCACAAGATTATCATGCGATTGTTGGTTCAGAATGCTTGCGTGTCTTCTTTCAGCATCTGCCTCCGTTCGCTCTATTGCCATTCTTTGTTGTTCGGCTGTTTCACCCTGGTTCACAACATTGTACAAGGTATACTGCACGTTTGAGATGTCGACCGTTGGATTTGAGACAAATGGAGATAGGGTAGGACCCACTGGACCGAAGATCCTATCAAGTGCTTGGGATCCTGAGCTCGGTGCCGTAGGGCCCGCGCCAGCTGCTGTAAGTTGTTCATCAAGCAGTCGATCTCTTGTTTCGTCGTCCATCTCGTCCGATGATACTTCGGTTGTTTCTCCCTTCTCAGTAGTGAGCAGAGAGGGCGAAGTACTCATGTACCAGTGTGAATACCAGTGTAAGAATACCACGGAGACAAAGTCAGCGAATACGGCTGATAACCTATAGAATACACCAAAACCGTTAAGCCATGAGCGGTCACGCTAACCTTTTACTCAGAGGGCTTGGGCACAATAGTCAGCGGTATATAGTACACAACATGATGACTGTACACGACCATACAAACTCCTACGCAAGCTGCGATGCAAAACTACAAAAGGTTTTACAATGGCTATTCAATCAGTGGCCTGGCCTGCATCTCACACCAACGGACTCTACATTGTCAATCTTTCGACCTCAAAACCTATAATTAGTTCCTCAGACCGAGGAAAATGGTTCAGAGAATAGGGTGGAGAGAGCGAGCCTTGGTTTGGGGCTTTCGGTTGGGGAGTTGCAATGTTTGGATCCTAAGCCTGGGCAAGCAAACCACTAAACTATCACGCCCCAGACGCTAATCCCTTCAATGCCGTTTAGAGGCTTGCAGGAGCCCTTATAAAATCAGTTGCAGCCGTTAGCATCCTTCGAAGCCCTAAACTGACTCCGACGAGAAAATCCTGAAGGGACTGGCTTATGGCCGGGGAGTTTGGGGTTTCGAGCTGAAGCTTTGGCTCTTGGCCGTATATGAGGGCCTTAATAAGGTTTCTTTTGAATAATGTGGGGGTCTCAATATTTACAAGATCTTCTTGAAAGTTACAGTACAGTCATAACAACCCTCCGAAGCCCTGTTCACGAGCGCGCTGCAGCACTAGGGAAGCGTTTTGCATTGTAAATGCCACTAAAACCACAGCATTGTAATTGATTTGCCTGGGTGTGGAAATCACGCGTTTCTGCGTCAAACCGATTTGAAACTTGAGAACTGGCCTAGGCGAATCTGTCAACAAGAGTGTCTTGAAGCGATGCAGATGCCAACATTTTGAGGTTTGTTCGGTACTGAGGAGTCGTGTCATCTCGGGCATTCGGAGCAACCCCCCAACACTTATTTTCACAGGTTAAATAATTAGCTTAAGTTATATTTCAACCGCTTATGTTCCAACCCTCTAGGCTTTGCATGGCATGTTTACGCCCCACGTCTGGGCTTCGGCTTCCACAATTTAAATTAAATACCACTATAGGATTTTGAAGAGGCTTAATACCATATCCTCAAACGAAACATTTCAAGTCCAAACCTGAGCTCCTCCAAGACCCTCAAGGCGCAACCGTAAACCCTCGACCCTGCACATGGAAGCTTCAGACATTGCATGCTCTTAAGCAGTACGGGTGTACAAGTTGCACAACAAGTGAAGCTTCGGACGTGACACAATCCCCCCCCATCCATCCCCTTCCCCCGAACCAGCGAAGTGAAAAATCCCAAAGTGCAACGGTACATCCAAATCCTGAAATCGGAAGACCCTGTAAACACAAAAGCGAAGAGCTCCTAAAACCCAGTCCTAACTGCATGTGAACAGGTCTTCGGAAGGTAAAATAAGCAACCCGACGGAATCTTACAAGTAGTTCCTGAGGCTTTCACCTCCGGACACCAAGGAGAACCCTAGTTCTAAGCCGACAGCCGAAATTCAAGCATGCATAAATCCTAAAGCTTAAAGCATCACCCTAAGTAAACGTTCAGTTAAAACCCCAAAAGCCCAAACCGAAACCCTCAAGCCTAGAACTGAACTCTAAACGGAAACCTCCCACTGGCCATAATCTAACAGTAACCCCACGAAGTATAAATCCGCTACATAGCGGCTTTAAAAAATAGAAAAGGATCGCCTTCTTGAAAACCTCAAGAGCCCTTGAGCAGCCTCGTCCAACCAGCGTCGACTTCAAGGCATCGTCGTCCACCTCCCCCGGACCCAGAGACTCAATTAGCTTAGGAGTAGGGTTTGGAGATTTAGGGCTATGCTAGGGTCCTTGTACAACCGGCTCTTTGGGTTTGCGCTATAACAAACATAAATGTTTCCCGAGGAAGACCGTGCATACCGGCCACATAAAACCGTACGCATGTGCAACCTTATGTGAAGCCCGACCAGACTTCTTGCGTTCGGCCCGAACCCTGAAGTCCTGTAACACAGCGCTACATCCGAAATTCTAGAATCCGCACCACAGAAATTTCAATCCAGAGCCAGTAAAACTACGTGAATACCAAACTCCACAACCCCATCAACGCCATAACACCTGGGCACAAACTACCCTAAGATCTCTACATCGACAATTCCACCACCCCATCAACACAAATGCTAAACCCGATACGCCCCGAATCCTGGACCCTAAAACCTCAAACGCCGCGGCATGAATCCTAAACTCCAAACCCTACACGCCTGAATCCAACCCCTACACCTGCAAACCTTAAGCCCCAGACGAAAAAAGGAAAATCCCGGCGCCGTAATTTAAATCTCCTACTCTAGTAAAGCTCCAAACGCTACACCTTAACCCAAAAAGCCCCCCAAGCCCCGAATGCCAGCCTGCTGGATGATGCCGCCGGCGCCCTTCAGCCACGGATGTTGTCCGAGCTGGCAAGTCGAGACGAGCTGAAGAAGGGTCAAAGATTTCAGGGTTGAAGGCTCAGGATTTCAGACTTTAGGGTTCAGGGTTGAGGGTTCAGGGTGCAGGGGTCATGGCTTAGTGTTCAGGGTTCGCTGCTGTGTGTGGCAGCATGGATACACACTGTTAATTCTGTTCAGCACCTAATAATTCAGGCCCCATATCATCGAAGCCCTATAGTAACCGTTTGCAGCGCCCCGATAAAAACAGGACTGTAAACGGACCCCGATTGGAGGAGCTGCCCATACTATCATCCTGAAGATAACTATACCGCTATACCTTTGAAGATGTATAACCCCAATTAGGGTTACGCCCCTACATCACCGATGCGTGCATTGCATGTACAAGCGAAGCTCCAAAACTTTTTTCCTCGATACAGCTCAAACTTTGCACAGCCTAGGGTTTATGGTTTTGGGGTTTGTAAGGTTTGAAGCTCTCAAGTCTCGCATTGGTCAGTGGTCATCCAGGATTGTCATGCTTGCACCTAAGCGTGCCAATGGCGTGATGGGATTCTCTGGTGCGACTTCGGGCAACACTGGCTTTTGGGCTAAGGCGTACGATGCACTAGTTTGAGGTTCCGGGTCTCAATTGCCGGGTTTGCGCTTTTGGGTGTACGGTTGAAAGAGTAGAGTTTTGAGATTTTTGCGGTTCAGGGGTTGAAGTGTAGCGGATTTGGGTTTGGCACGACTACTGGCAGTTTCTCTACAAACTCTCAGGCTTAAGTACAAAGCTTTGGGGAACTAGGGTGCAATATATGGCCCGTAAGACTTAGAACGGGGCTTGGGGGGTTGTCTACTAGTACAAGTCGTAGCAGTAGTTGCTCCGGCAATTCTGCCGCATCCACCACTTATAACTCCATTATGCATGCTTCTGTTGTGTCATCGTTATTATTTGTCGGGGTGGTCGCGGTCCGGCTGTCGCGCAGACTGCTGAACACCAACTGGCTGTGATGTGTATAAGCCCTCGGCGAAGAAACGCGCCCAGGTTTGACACAAGCTCTCCAGCTCTCCCGAATATGGCATGCGCATGCTGAATCTCAACGCTCCCCGGCGTCTGGGCTTCGGTTATCGCATCTTCGTGTAGAGTTGCTGGGCCTTGAGTATCCGAGTTTTGTGAAAAGGCCACACATACCAGGCCGGTCGCAGGAGGAGCTCCGAGTACTGCAAAGCAGTGCTGTGCTCCCGCTTGTCTTGGGCCTCAGAAGAGACGTGGTTCATAAGGTTGAGCCTGCGTCGGGCTCCGGTGATAGCGTAGTGCTGTCGCGGGACTTCGGATATGTGAGGCGGTCTTGTAAAAGGTCCAGAACCTGCCTGTCCGATAACGCCCCAGTTAAATCTTAGCTACGTGCTTCAAGACCTGGAGACTGGGACGTCATGTCTGGCTGTCCTTCAATATCGGCTGCTTGGGATTCGTTGGGACGACCTTCTTCAAGTAGTCCCAGGCCGCAGCCACACTCAAGGAAGCCAGCTCCGACTGCTGAGCTGATCCGGCCTGTGTCGACCTGTCCACGAGATCCCGAGGATGCCGGCGGGACCACGCGGCCAACTTGTCTGGAAGCTTTTTTTCCCTGCCAAGGTCTGTCAAGCTTTGTCGGGTTTACGGTGGTTTGGGGTGAACGGCCCACTCAATCTCAACGCTCACCGCCCTCTGGACTTTGATGTCGTTGTTGTCAACCAACTTGCGCTCCACGGCAGCCTTGATCGTTTTGCCGATATCACGAGCAAAAAGCTCCGATCCGAGGCTTCCAGCCATGGCTTGAATCCCGTTCATTCCGAGAAAGAACGAGACTCTGGCACGGAGAGCAGCAACGCGAACTTGCTGTTCTCCAGTGCCTGGGCCAGGAGCGGGCCGCCGAAACTCTGGCGCTTGACCGTCGCCACTCGGTCGACGTAGACACCACCCGGGTGGCAGGGGTGCCATCTGCAGACCCCCTACCACCAACACCGCCACTGCTGTTACTACTGCTGCTGGCCCATGGGGGCTGCCCTGGAGGCGGCTGCGGCTTCTTGCTGAACGGGTTCTGCATCAGCAAGCCCGGCTCGTCGAGATCATCCGAGGTCTGGCAAATCTTGCCCTTTATCGGGCGTCAATACCACTCATCATACTTGTAGTTCCACTGCCCCGAGAATTGGGATATCTTTGATGCCGAACCGAAACCACCTAAGTCCCCGAACCCTCAGACGCTTGCTCTTGCAAGCCCTCTAACTCCTAAAACCGAACAGCAACATCCTGGTAGCAACCTCACAAAATCATAGTAAACACTGCTGAACACAATCTTAGAAAGCAGTAGTATTCAGAACCGTAAAAGAGCCGAAACCGACAGCCCTGCATCACCCTTGTTGGCAAGCCCACAGGAGCCTTTATCGCAAACCTTAGAGGAGCCACCCAAAGCCTGAACCAAGAAACCTGAAAAGCACTAACAAATCCGAAAACCCCTGGGTCCCTGGGTGGAATCTGACAGAACCTCCGCTGCCGACGGCCGGTAGTTGGGATCCTGGTAGAGAGGGATTTGAGGTGCCTTCCAAAACACAGTAATGGGGGTTATAGGGTTTAGGACCGAGGGTTTGGGATCAGGGTGTAGGGGATAAAGGCAGTTCACACTGGAACTGAAGGTGAATCTGTGGGGCTAGCCGGCTCCACTGCCGCCAAGGGCACTCCCCACGGGAGGATCCAAAAAGTAGATCCCTTAATGGGGGTTCCTGTAAAGTACTCTTAGTAGTATAGGGTCCCAAATTAGGGGATCTACTTTCTAGATCCTCCCGGGGGTCTGGGTCATCACCTACTTCCAAGGGCGGTGCGAAACTCAAAGCAACGGCAAACACACATGTTAACATTGCTTACTCAGCTACTACTGGCGCCAAGTTGAGGCTTTGAATAGAGCTTCTTGGGTTTGGGGGTCGAATATTTGCCTATTTTGGGTTTCGGGGTTTGGGGCTTCAGGGATTTAGGGGTCGTTAGGGCTTGGGGGGGAGTGAGGGCTCCAGTGAGCAAGGCGCGGGATTCAAGGTGTAGAGGTTTCAGGCTTTGGCAGCTTTGGGGTTGCGGAGTTTTGGCAGCTTCTGGGTGTTTTTGAGGGCCTTGGTTTAGGGTTCAGGGTTTAGGTTTCAAGAATCCTTGGTTTCTAGGTTGAGGTTCATGCTGGTACTTTTCAGCCTACATCGGGGCTGTCTGTGAATATTTGGCTAAGGTTTGGCACCAGAGTTGTGTGTAGATGCTCACAAACTTTAAGCTGAAAGCCAAACCATCACTAAGGTTAAGCCGATCCAACAGTCAACGGACCCCTCAAAGTCTTATCAAAAACCTGCGAAACATCTACGAGCCCACAGAAATCAAAACCATGCACAACCTCTACCCTATAGAACGCTTATTATGACACCCTTTGCAAAACAGTTGAAGGAACCCTTAAAGGGCCCCTTCATGACCCTTAACACTTCAAGGACCGTCAAAAGAATTTCTCAGTTGCTGGGTTCATAATCCCCAAAGGGTACACCTTTGGTTTTATAGTGGGTCATATTATCCCAAACAGTGTAAAGTGTATCCACTCAGCTACTAAGAGCTTGGCCCTTCATGAGACACAGGTAGTTAGGCCCCTATACTATAGAACCCTACTATAGATCCCTTAAAGAGCCCTTTAAGGAACCCGTTTATAGGGACCCTAGGTCATTACCCCCTTGCATAGGCGCTTACGGTTGGTCCTTCATGAGACACAGCTGCATGAAGTTCACCGCATCCGCAGGCACCTCAGGAGGCACCTGAGCTTCTTCCATTCTTCCGCTGCTTGAGCTCCTTCTACTCAACTTCAAATCGAAAACACCAAAGTATATATACATATAAAACAATACATATACATATATATATATATATCTAGATCTGTATAAACAAATTTACGTGTGTGTATATATATATATATATATAAACGAATACGCACACACACACACACACACATACGCACTGTGGACCTGCTTAGGGTGTAAGGTCTAGGTCCCAGACAATGAAAGGGAAATGAAAGGGTCCCCTTTGGCGAGGTTACGACAACGCACAACGATCTTCCGCTCTTGGGTCTATACCAGTGCTGCTGGGGTTTTTAGGTCTCTATAAGGGTTTACAAAGATTCTTGGAAGTATTCAGAGTTGTGTCGGGGTTCCCTACTTTAATGTTGACGTGTAGCGGTTTTGGGCCGTATAGGGTCTTGGGGGTTTGGGCTCTTTGGGTTGGTGCCCGCGTGTGTGTGTGTGTGTGTGTGTGTGGGTGGAGTTTCAGCTTTCAGCATCCGGAGGTCGAGTGTTTGGGTTTTGGAGAAGACAATTACAAATGGCTGTGACCCTGACTGATCTATGACTGGCAGACAAGGTGGCCATGACTATGACGAGCTTTGCTGCTGCAGCCGTAGTGGAACTACAACCTGTGCTATGTTGATGATGAGGCTGCAAGGGCCTGGGAACCTCGCACTCCGATGCCCGAATGGTTCCACGGATTTCTGTATACCCGGGCCATGAAACCCTCAACCCAATGCCAGAAACTCCAATCCCTAAACTCATCTCCAACGCCCCCGAGCCCTGTACCCTAAATCCTGAAGAGCTTAACACCATGAAAGTCACCCTTCTTTCTTGCACGAGGTGGCTCCTCAGATTTCGCGCTCTCCACTGCCCTCCGGGCAGAGGAGGCCGGGAGATGATGGGCTTTGCTGCACGGTCTGCAAGCTTGTATTCCCTTAAAAAAATGGCTTCATGGGCTGTTGAAAATGGACACTTTGGGAAAGTAGCTTTATGGATCCATTAAAGAAGTAGCTGGCTTCGAACTTTCAAGTCGGAGTCGACATCTTGAGATAGTAGTGCAAGCCATGCTGACGTTAAGATGTCTGAGATACTGAGCCGAGGGAACCATTTGATGTTTTGGATAGGGTTGAGAATGTACATTTTTATTCCTTGTTTGGTCTAAGTACCCATAAAGATGTAAAATGTTACCCAACTATGACAAAGGGAATGGCCGCAGTACAGGCTTCGATAATCTTTGGGCGAGGAGTGTAAGCCTCCACATTTGTTTAAGGTATTAAGCTTCAGGATTAGGGCAGTCAATAAGCCTCTGAGATCCATGGGACACTATTAGAAAGCAAATTCCGCATATCGAAACCGTCTACTCTACGGGACTGGCAGCTGGAGTAGATATATGAAAGCATAAGTACGATGAGGAAACGACAAGACTGCGATGGGTAGTCTTTCCATTATTGCTATTACTGATGTGGTTATGACATATGCCCTTGCCAGATATACAAGTAGTATATATGAGTTTAACTATTGTTTGACATTCAGCCGTCATACTATCCATGGAGCGAAGTTGATGAAGCTCATGACTTGCAGCTTGCCCGACTGCATGCCTTCGTGCGCGGACGGCCGCGGAACATGCGGAACATACGGGCCTTAACGATAAGAGTACGGTTTTGGGGCGTGTTTGTATATATATATATATACAGCTAAGTTGATTAACCTTGAGTACTATTGGCATACATTCAGGCCCGTATATATACATGCCGGGAAAAGCACTTGGGCATCGGGCGCCGAGTTGCCTACGGCACTTTGCGCAACTTGAGGCTGTTCACAACCAAGGTGAGTCTTGGGTACCACTACGGCCTTAATGTGTCGAAAATGATTTTGGGATCTAGTCTAATTCAACTATGTTAGCAAGATGTGAGGATTTGGGCTTTTGGGTTAGGGTTTCGGGTAAGGTGTTTTAGGGGCTATGGTCTGAGGCTGAAGGGGTACGGCAACCTCCAGAACCTTGCGGAACTCCCAGCTCCAGTGGTTGGGTTTGCAGTGTCGGATGCAGGAATGTCTCAGGGTTTCGGGTTTGGGGCGGATGCTGGCTGTCACAGCTCAAGCTGATTGTTCTTTGAAGCTAGACATACTGTTGATGGGCATTACCCATTATTGTGAATATACCATAGTTCCCATAGTTTAGGGTCCTTAAGGTCATGCAGGATTTTGTCCATCAACAGTATGGAGGCGAACGTCTGATGAAGTGGTGCTCCTAAGGATGCTGATACAAAGCCACCCGAAGGTCCACATTACGTTCCCATATTAAGCTAACTGCATCATCTGTAAGAGATAGCACTTGAACATGGTCACCTCAAAAACAAAGAGAGCATGACGCCGTGGTGGTTTTTGCGAGAGAAACTTAGCATTCATGTGCGAGATTATTTTTTGTGATTTCGTTCCGCAGTTGCATCTCGTCTAAATACATTCACTCGTGATGACCCTTCAAGCATGAAAAACTGCTGCCCAACTATGAACAGCCTCACATGCACCTGCCTGAGCCAAAAACACTCTCGGCGACTCTGATTTTCAGAGACCGCTGAGCCACTCTACTCAGGTGGAAGCTCTCCGAAACTGCAAAGCCCGTATTTCGGGCTTAGGCTTTTAGGTTTAAGGGGTTTGGTGTCTTAGTTGATGAGTTCATAAGCCCCAAAAAGTATACACTTTCAGTTTTGAAGTGGGTAAGATTATCCCAAAAAGCATAAAGTGTATCCACTGAGGTGCTCAGAGTGCAGGGCTTAGGCTTTCCCATGACCATGGTCCCTACGTAGGTGCTTGGCCTATCTGCCTAGTTAGCGCTGCACAAAACAGCCAGCCGGCCAGCCGCCCAACGGATGAACAAATTAACGTGATGTTAACTGTTAATAAGAACGCTCAAAAGGAAAAAATGTAATCTACTAACAATAATAGCAATAATAAATACTACTAATAATCATGATAATAGTAACAGTAACAGTCACACACCACAGGAGGAGAGGCCTGAAACGAAAGCAACAACATTAATCGAACTCGATGGTCACACTCGAAGAAGCATCATATTAGGTCATCTCGAGGTTGTGGCTGGTTCTCACCAGTATGTTCAGGGCTTGGGAAGTCAAGGGTGAGGGAATAAAGATCTAGGGTTTTGTGTCTTGGCATCATCTTCGTCATGTTATTGTTTCTGGTGCGGTTCTTGCTTTAAATCACTAGTGCCGGTGTGACTCTGCCTCGTCAGAATCCGCAATGTCAGCAAAACGGCCAACTCTGATGCACTGCGCCTTACTGGGCTCCTGAATACAATTTTACGCATTGGACATCTGTTAGCTTAGCTAGCTTCTTCTTCTGATTGTTGGTATTCGAATTCTCATTATTTTTACTACCCGCTATTGCTGCTGCTTTGTGGTTTTATCTTACACGAATATATTCCCCCCAGCCCAAATGCGGCTTTCTTGTCCGCCTACATTTGCCATCCCATGCTAGACTTCTCAATTCACAAAGCCCCGTACCGCGAGCGACCTCATAATCCCAGCCTCAACTTCCGAAAGCCCAAAGCCCCCCAGCCCAGATCCAACAAGCCTCGAGCTTACTCGTCCAGTATCCCACAAGATCTGAAGGTAAACCTTTTGGGATTATATGGGGGCTGTAGTACCCCGAAGAGGTTAAAGGTTGCCTACTCTACGACTAGATACCAGGGTTTTTGAGGAGTTCTAGCACACCTGAAAAGGTTAAAGGATGCCTACTCTACTACTAGGTTTTTGAAGGGATCTAGTACCCCAAGAGGTTAAAGGTTACCTAGTACTTGCTTTTGGAGGTTCATGGGTAGTTATAAGTAGGCTTAAACACTTATAACCCATATTCGGGGACTTATAACCTATAACTACCCATGAACCCCAAACCCTATACCCTTCTGGAATTCTAATAGATCTCTGTAAAGGAACCTTTAAAGGAACCCCTATAACTACCCCTGAACCTGCAAGTAGAGCCTCAGGGCTTGGCTTGGTTTGTTGGGACAGGCCTTTATCCGAAAATAGGGGACCCTAATATAGTACCCTAAATAGTTGGATCCTGATTATAAGGACCCCAAATAAGGTACCCCTAATTTTCGGAGAATCCCTGGGAGCGTTGCGATGTAACTTGGATCTTTGAGCTGAGGGCTTCAGGGATTTCAGGGTTTACGGATTTCAGGATTTGGTAAGGCTTAGGGTCTTGAAGGCTCTCATGACAACCTCCAGCTCAGGAACGCGGAGCTTTGGATGCCGGCCGGGAGGATCGACCGGCCTGGCGTCGACGGAGGATGGAGGGGAGCTTTGGGTTTCGAAAGTTTTGGGGCTTTCGAAAAGGTTCAGGGCTTATAGGGTTTATAGAGCTTATCGGGTTCATAGGGCTCATGGGGCCTATAGGGCTTATAGTGCTTTTTACAGGGCCTATAGGGCTCATAGGGCTTATAGGGTTTATCGGGGTTTCTAGGGCTTGGGGACCGGGGCCGGGAACTGTTCGGAGATCCCTTGACCCTGGAGCGCAAGGGTTGCGGCGTGATCTCCACTGCTTCAGAAACCCCACCCTACGGTTTAGGGTTTAAGAATCTAAGCCAAGGGAACCTACCTGAAGAATGCAGACCCCGCTTCCGGTGGCGCAACGCCGCAAACACAGCAGACTCCCTCAGATTTACGTGTCAGGTTGAATCGCAACGGCAAAGCACGACTAAAAGCCACAACCATACGACGAGCAGCGAGTGTAGTGAGAGAAATGGGTAATTGTCAAAATTATGGCCCCTTTTTCGGGGCACCCTAAATATTAGGTGCCGTATTAAATTAAGGACCCAAAAAGGGACCATAATTTTGACAACCACCCAAATGGCAATGAGATCCGACTCGCCGCTGCTCATTCGGAGCTTGCATTCTTTCCGCGGTTCCCTCTTGACTTCTATCGTATGGGTAAACCGCAGCTGCAGGAAGCACTACCTACGGCTGAAGTGCGCTTAATTCATTGACCCTTTGCACCGAACCAGAACCACAGGGTTTAGATCCACAGGGCTTGTTCGACAGAGTTGGCTTTTAAAAACTTTTACAGACTTTTAAAAACTTTAAAATGCAAGAAAACATTCTAAAAACTTTTAAAAACTTTAAAAGACTTTTAGAAACTTTAGAAGACTTTAACAAACTTCAAAAGACTTTTCAAAACTTTAAAAAGGCTTTTAAAATATTTAAAAGACTTTTAAAAACTTTCAAAGACATGTAAAAGCTTTAAAAGACTTTAAAAGACTTTTAAAAGCTTTTAAAAACTTTTACAAACTTTAAAAGACTTTGAAAGACTTTAAAAATCTTTTAAAATTGTTTAAAAACTTTAAAACACAAAAAACTATTTTTTCTACATTTTTAAGGCTTTTCCAAGAAGACGAGGATGAAGAAGACCTGGCACAGGGTTTAAAGTTTCAGGGTCTTTAGGGTTTGGGGTTAGAAGGCAGAGTGCCATAGTATTAGGGGTTTGAGGGTAATGAAAGGGTTAGGGTTAGAGCTTCAGGGTTTTAGGGTGTAGGGTTAGAAGGCAGAGTGCCATGGTATATGGTTGAAGGCTAATGGCTGAAAGGCAAAGTCCCAAAGTCTTCAACATGAATGGGCTTCAGTTTTGGTAGTTATCTTGGAATGATCGTGGCTTGGCTTCGGGCTTTTGGTCGTGCCCAAACCCCCGCTCAACAGCTCCACCACTACTGCTACTTTAATACTACTGTACTACCACTTTACTACTACCCTCTTACAAGTATACTTCTGTACTACTATCGCACCCCTACTGTACTACGACGGTACTACTTTTGTACTACTGTACTACTACCGTGCTTGTACTTGGACTACTACTGCACGACACACCACTGCACCGCACCAGGCCTCAGACGTGGTCGATTGTGGAGGGGAATGTAGGTTGGAGGCAAAAGTCTTCAGAGTGAAAGGTTTGCAGTTTTGGTAGTTCTCGTTGAGTGACCGTGTCTTGGCTTCGACTTTTTGTCGTCCCCAAACCTCGCTAGACAGCTCCAAGTACCCCTAAACCCTCGTACTGCACTGTATCTACTACTACTATAGTACTACTCTACCCTGTTGTACTACTACTGTACCGTACCAGGCCTCAGACATAGTCGATTGTGGAGGGGAGTGTAGGTTGGAGGCACAAGTCTTCAAAATGAAAGGTTTTCAGTGTTGGTAGTATCTTGGAGTGATCGGGGCTTTTGGTTTCCAGCCTTTGGTGATCCCCCCAAACCGTTAAACAGCTCCAAGTACACTTAAAAACCTCGTACCGTGTTACTACTGTACTACTACTGCATTACTACTGTACTATTACATGCATTACTACTGGACTATTACATGTACTCACCGGTGCATCATCGAGCTTCTTCTTGTATCTTTGCTACCTGTAATGTGGCGGCCGTTTAATAGCCACCCCCCCTCGACCAAAGGTTTTTGGTTTGAATAGTCTGGTGTCCGTGACCCCCTGGACCGGGGTTCGGCTGGCTGAGGGTCTGAATGGCTTTGGATAAGTTAGAAGGGAAATGGGGGGTCGCATGGTCGGCTTGAAACCTGCGCGAACGCCGCAATCGGGGGGCTTGGGGATCACCAATAACTTGAAACCAAGCCCCGATCACTCCAAGATAACTACCAACACTACAAACCTTTCATGTTGAAGACTTTTGCCTCCAACCTAACCACCCCCACGATCGACCAAGTTTGAGGCCTGGTACGGTACAGTGGCGTGTAGTACAGAGTACAGTAGTACAGTAGCATAGTAGTACATTGGTGCAATGGTAGTACAGTAGTAGCACAGTACAAGCACAGTAGTGTGTTTCATCGACTCAAGCAGAGAGCGCCCCTGTAAACTTTGCTTTGTGTGGGTGCTTTGTCTTTGCTCTTTAAAGGTTTTGCTGTTTGCTGTCATATCTGGTATCTATATGTGCTTATAGGGTCATGGCTTTGAGTTTGGCGCGGGGGCGAGGCTGGCCTGGGAGGTGGGCTGATAAGGCGCAAGGGCGAGGGCTGGGGACCGGGCTCGCGACTTCAAAATTTTTGAAGACGAATTAAGATTTAATGAGATTTATAGTTAGATGTAGTAAGATTTTATTTGGGTTGTTTTCCTTTCTAACACTGATAAGATTTTATATAATCTCCCTGCAAAGGGAATCTCGATCTATCTATCCAAGAAAAGATGCTTCCACGGGGGGGGGGTATCCCCCCCTTTCCCCCGGTGGGGGGCTTAGGGGGGAGGGGGGAGCTCGAGGGGGGAAAGCCCTCGATCCAGGGGGTGCGGGGGGCGGGAGCCCCCCGCGAAACGGTGGCGAATATTTGCGATTTTCCAAGGAAAAAGTTATAAATTCGCAACAAGCCAACACCACAAGGTTTGGATCAACAGGGCTTAGCAATAAGATTCAATAAGATTCAATAAGATTTAATAAGATTCAATAAGATTTAATAAGATTCAATAAGATTCAATAAGATTCAATAAGATAAGATTCAATAAGATTTTTCCGGGGCGTGCCACAATTGTACAAATGTCTTCTAAGATTCAATAAGATTCAATAAGATTTTTTGGGGCGGTCTGGAGTCGTGTCCCTTTTAAAAATGATGAACCAATAAGATTCAATAAGATTCAATAAGATTTAATAAGATTCAATAAGATTCAATAAGATTCAATAAGATTTTTCCGGGGCGTGCCACAAGTGCCACAAATGTCTTCTAAGATTTTGCCGGGCCGATCTTCCGGAAAAGGCTTCATGATAAAATGCTGCTGGGGCTGGGGCTGCTGGGCCTGCTGGGGCGGCTGGGGCTGCTGGGGCGGTTCGGGCTGGGTGAAGGCAGGGAGAAAAGCGGTTGGGGGAGGGTGTAGTGAAGGAGAGGAGGGCCTGCCCCAACCGCCAGTCCCCCAGCCCACGCCCAGCCTTCCCTGCGAGCCGCGACCGAGCAGAAAGCCTGTAAATACCGCGTTAAAACAACGGCCAGGGATCCCACACATCTGCGGGCAAAATCTGGCGGAAGTGATCCGCCACCGAGCAAAAAGCCTGTAAATACCGCATTAAACAAAAGGCCAGGGATTTCACGCATCTGTTGGCAAAATCTGGCGGAAGTGAGTGCTGCTCACTTCCGCCAGATTTTGCCAACAGATGTGTGAAATCCCTGGCCTTTTGTTTAATGCGGTATTTACAGGCTTTTTGCTCGGTGGCGGATCACTTCCGCCAGATTTTGCCCGCAGATGTGTGGGATCCCTGGCCGTTGTTTTAACGCGGTATTTACAGGCTTTCTGCTCGGTGGCGGCTCACTTCCACCAGATTTTGCCAACAGATGCGGTGGTGGGCTGGGGTTGGGGGCTGGGGCCCGCAAGGGGTGTCCGATTAGGTTTTGAAGAAACGCGGATCCCAAAATCACGGATCGCAAAGAGTGTCTCCCTGCAGGTTGTATTAAAACATAGGTTCCCAAATCATGAACCGCAAGGGCTCCCCCTGCGGCTGTCCAAAAACTCGCAGCTCGCAAGGGGTGTCCGGTGCCTGTCCCCATACCAAAATCATCAAATCGCAATGGGTGTCCCCCGAAAGTAGGGGGTTGGGTCGGGTGGGGGGGGGGTCGGCTGGGGTGGGGCTGGGCTGGCTGGGGCTGACGATGCGGCATCTTGGAATTGGGCTGGGCTGGGGGGGGATGGCCGGTCCCCGGCTCAATCACCCCAGTGTGGATTGCTTTTCCCTTTTCCTAAATTTGGGCTCTCCTTTTTTGAAAAAACATTGCCGAAACAAACTTGACCAGACTGAGCCAGGTTTTCTATATCTTGTTTTGCTTCCAAGCAGGAGGCGACGTTGTGATTCGCTTTTTTGTGAAGAAGTTTTGAGCCAAGACACACAACAACAGACTCGCACAAAACAGTCACCCAGCAAACACAAACAAGTAGCAACATGCCAAACGCATGCGAATACTGAAATTGACTAATAGCATCACCCCACTAATACAGGTTAATGTGGGGGTCCTTCTGGTCCGGTGTGCCTAGTTGATGCGTGTTTCCTGTGCTTATTCGGGCTGTATCAAAAAATGGTGGCCTAATTAATGATTAGTGCGTTCTTTGTTGGGCCGACTGATTTTTTGTATTTCTCTTCTACGACTGTCCTACTACTGTACTATTACAATACTAATGCACTGCTGTACAGGAGTGTAGGCCGGACGAAAAAGTTCTCAACATAAAAGGTTTTAGTGTTGGTATCTTGGAGTGATCGTGGTTTGGACTTTGGTCGTGCCCACACCCCGCTAAACAGCTCCAGGTACTCCCACACCCTTGTAATGTACCCCTACTGTACTACCACTTTACTAACTACCTTCTTACTACTGTACTTCTGTATTACTATTGCATTGCTACTGTACTACTGAATATGGTACTACTATTGTACTACTGCATTACTACTGTGCTATTACTTGTACTACTACTGTACGACACACCACTGCACCGCTCGAATCCATGTGGGGAAGGTCGGCATTTCAAGGAAATCCAAACCCTTAGACTCGATCACAACCCCTAACTTAAATTGATAAACTACTTTAAAAACAAATACAAACAAATTTGTAGACGTAGAACAGCAGGAAGCCAGGTTGAACAGCAGGATGCCATTTATCATTTGACTCAATCACAACCAAAACTATTTAAAAAGATTAAATATTAACTTCAACAACAAATAAACAACAAATTTGTAGATACACAGCAGCAGGAAACCAAGTAGAACAACAGGAAGCCATTTGACTCAATCAGAAACAAAAACTCATAATTCACAAACATGTATTTTTTTACACCAAAAATAAAAATAAAAATATTTTAACAACTGTAAAACACAAAAAACATATTTAAAAAACTTTTAAATACAAAACAACACTTTTAAATACAAAAAAACACTTTTAAACACAAATAAAGCCAACCACATACAAAAATAAGATTTTGGGTTCCTTTCATATAAGCCTTGTTGATCTAAACCCTGTGGTTCTGGTTCGGCGCAAAGGGTTAAGGATTAATTTCGAGACACTCCTCAGGCCCCTAATCGCAGAGAGCTCGTAAAGAAGTTGGAATTCTGCACCACCGCCAGCCGCTACTAAGCCGTTGAAGCCCAAACACCCTAAACGGGCTTGAGAGAGAAGCAATGCTGTCCCTTAGGGTATACTTCCATGAATGGGTTCAGGTCGTATCCTGCTTGGGTATACTACACTGGACTCCAATACCCTGTTCAGACTATTAACTCCCCTTCACTGGATTTTCAAGACCCTGCGCCGTACTGCCTCGAAGTAGCATGCATCTTGAACAACCTGCGACGTGTTTCGGCTGCACTTTTTCGGGCTTGAAGGCTGTTGGGGCTTAGGGTCTGCGGTTCAGCAAGGCTTAATGTCGTGCAGGGCTATGCTAAGGAATTGAGATTTCGACTTGTTTGTTTTATGAGGACAGCAAGTTGGCATGAGAGTGCCGGGCGGCTGATGCTAGCCGCTGCTTTGGGAATTGGGCTTGCCCCCCAAACTCCGACGAATCCTAAGCCATTGAAGTTGAAAGACCCCCACTAGAAGTCCTTCTCATAGGGCCTCAATAATTATGCTCAAGCACGCCTACTTACTCGAAATCTTTCTGAAAGGGCCTCTTGGCTTCAGCGAAGCTAAGCTCTGGAGAGGCTTCAAGCCAGAAGGCAAAACTCAAGGAACCAACAACTATTATGTATCATATACTAACATATATATATATATATATGTATATATATATATATATATATATATATGGTCAAATTATATATAGATCGCATTCGAATATATGTATATATAGGACCTCTGAAGCATACATCAAGCATGGAGACTAAAGAACCTACCTGTTTTGTCTTCCCATTCTGCTTTCTTTTTTGTCTGTCCTTAAAAAAGGAACGCCATTCAGGTTTTATGAAGGGCCTTCCCCACCGTATCGGCCGCCAAGGCATCTTCGTCCAAGACCAAATCGATGACCTCTTCGGCAACGGACTCCTCGGCCTCGCTCGTATCTTTTTCATACCTAGGGCTCTAAGGACTCATATATTCAAGCTTTTGGGCTATTTTGATCGCTAGGCTTAGTTGTCCAGCATCCTTGGGGCAACTAAAGTCAACCTTTGGGATTACATAGGGCTTAAATAAACTCCAAAAGGTTAACGGTTACCTTCTCTACTGCTAGGTTGTTGAAGGATTAAGGCTCAGGGCCTGGGGGCAACAGCTACAACCTGAACGCCAAACCCGAAAACGCTAAACTCCCTCATAGTTAGAACAGGGTCTTGATGCTAGTCACAAGCACCCGTACACCCCTCTTACAAAAACGCTTTGACACAGCAGCCACGAAACAGTCGAGCAAACGTATGAGAACCAACAAATAAAAGCCTAGCAGTGGAGAGCTATTCTAAATCAAAAGCCCTGAACCCTAACCCTACTTCTCCGAACTCGGAATCCAGCCTGAGTCTAAATCCTCAAGACCCGACAGACAACCTGAAGGAACCCTCAATGGAGCTTATGAAGCCTACAAGTGGACCGGGTGCGTAACACAGGGGCCGCAATAGCTAGACTATGTTAGAATAGAGGCTCAGTTGTGACAATTGAACATCAGGAACCCTGCCATTAGTGGCTGAAGCTTCTCTACTATCTTCTCTTTCAAAGCCGTGACCGCGTCTGCATTCGCAGTTCAGCTACTGTAGAGGCCTGGACGATTTCATGGGCCTTCGCAGAACCCTCAACGGAACTCCTGTAGCAGCCTTTCGGATACCCTAAACCCTGAACCCTAAACCCGGGACCCTAAATCCTAAACCCCAAATCCTAAACCCTATATAGCCCCTAGACCCCTAAACCAAGGAACCCTAAACCCTAAACCCCTACAGTACCCTTATGTAGATCCCTTATAGGAACCCTCATAGCTCCTTTAAAGGAACCCCTAAACTCCCAACCCCCGAACCCTACATCCTCAGAGCCCAACAGTCGCCTCCACGCTCCAGCTGGTATATTTGGAATCTGCGAGCCCTGGCGCAGCGCGCTGGTCATCCTGGCCTTTGCTTCGGGGGTCTTTACTTAGAGGATCATGAGTCATGAGACTTAGTAATTTTGGACCGTAATTGAGGCTGTAATTGGGGTAACTATACTTGTAACATTGTAGTTGCTCATAACCCATATGAAGGTACATACTACTTGACTTTCTAAGTCCCAAGATCCTCCAAGTAAGACTTGTTCAAGGCTCCATAAGAGTTCTACAAGGATACTCTGGAGAATGTCATTGAAGGCAAACTCAGCCTCGACCTCGGAATCTTCGCCTTTCACTCCCGACTCTTCCCACGGCTTCATAGAACTGAAGTGAATGCAGTGGCCCGAAATGCAATCGTAGCCCTAGCCCACTCTGAACCCTCATAGGGTTTCACATGTAATGTAGTCCAGTGAAACGAATACGCTGCATTCATGTAAGGACCTTAACAATTAAAAACCCTGTTAAGGTATGGGGGCTTCGGACATTAAACGTGGGCTTGACACTCCAAGAACTGATGGATCAGAGAGGCAATCTTGCACCAACGCACAATCCCAAGACAAGGACCCTACGCCTAGTTTGGGGACTTTCTTAACCATAAGAGATGTTTTGGTTAGATGGGAACTGCGAACTCAAAAGTCCCAGGCAATGCCAAGAAACCTGTATAGTGAAGCTCGATCGAAGCCCTTATGAACCCCAAACCAAGGAGAGTCATATGCCGCCGGCTAAGGGGTTCCTTGCAAAACACATGATCATTTTTCTGATTCTGTATCTGTATACATCTCTATATGTATCACTACATATACATGTATGGCCTTGTTTGTCTTTAGTTGTCTTTACTTGGCATCATGCTTTCAAAACCCTTCAGGGATCATTCAGCGAAGCAACTCCTAAATCTAGACGCCGTAGCAAACCCTAAACAGTGTAATCACTTTACCAATACGTCCCTCCCTAAATTCCTCGCAGAGCCCTGCAACCCGTAAAACGACCATAAACCCTGACACCCAAGCACTGGATGCCAGCAGGTGACTCGAGGGAGCGTATTTGCCGAGCTTCCAGGGCAATGCCTGGCAGCTCGATCTAACCCACCCAGACGAGTCGGTTAGCTTTTTACGATATGGTACACACCCCAAAACGTGAAAGTTTACATACCCAATTCATGAGCTTGTTCACCACCTGTTAAACCCAAAATGACCCGCTTGCAACCCAGCAAGTTGCGCTGCAATAGACCCCCCGATATATGCTCACCTTTCGAGCAGCACAAGCCCCACTGCAAAACGAACCTTTGAATCAAACCCTGGGCAATAAACCCCAAATCCCTACAGACCCCTTTAGCGAGCCCTTATAACGGAACGTGTGTCATAACTCCTCAACGTGGAACCATTACACGGAACCCCTAAGAAGCCGAAGCGGAGCCTTTAAGTTCGGCAAGCTGGCGGAATGGCTTTCACCTGCTTTGGGATCTGATTAAGGCTTTCAGGTTAACAAGAACAGGGTTCCTTTGGATAAGGAGTTGAAAACATAAGAGTTGGGGTCGATTGTAATATGTTGCAGGTGAAAATTTGTTCGTGACAGCATTCTGGGATTCAGAAGCTGATGCTTAACGAGAAATACACGGGCCTGAGTAAAGAAACAAACGGTTTGAATATAATATAACTTGATTGGAGATCGAAAGGGGATATTTACTTTGAATATCTATTCCGAACTTTGCTCATATCGTCTAACGGCTTGTGGGTTCACGGTCTAGCAGTCCTTGGGCCACATGGTTTCTCACCACGACGAACATTCTTGGGGATTTACATGAGTAAAAGCCTTTACCAGGGAAACATTTCAGAAGACCATCGGCTTCGGGGCTGGTAATATAACATGCGAAGACACATGCGCAACAGGGGTGCCGTGAGCATCTTGAAGCAATCATGCCGTTTGGTGCTTGTCCACCTCGTCTGGGCCTCCGCAGCAACATGACCTACACTGTTCGAAGTCAGAAGTCTCAGCAACTACTTGCTTTTTTTTTCAGGACCGGACCGGGCTTTCACGAAGTCCGACTTGTCCGACTGCTAGTGCTACTAGAGCCACGAAAGCCTTTTCCGTGAAGAAACGCAAGGCTACGGAAATCGCAAAGCAACGCGAACTCCTCAGTTGGGACTTTGGAATGTTTGCCCCAGCAGCGATGGATCCGAAAGACATGGCTAGTTAACTTTGGGATGCGGGTCAGCGCGGGACAGCCGGCACACCACCGCAACGAGTTGCAAAGTATGACCGTCCGAACCGTCAGCATCGACAGCGCTATGGTTGTCGTCATCGTTGTTATTGTCTTCGCCAGCGGTGTCATTGAAACTAGTGGTTTCGACATCCGGCTTTATTGAACCTGCCTCAGTGAACCTGAAGATTCCTGCAACACAGGATAACGCTTGTGCTTGTCTCCCCAGCTGTTAAAGACGCTCCTCGCCACGACGTGGCGCTTTCAAGTTGATTGCGCGTTTGCTTCCTTCGGTTGATGATATAAACCCTGCATTACCCATAATAAGGAATATATGGGAATTATGGTATATTCCTGATTATGGGTCATGCAGCATTTATATCATGAACCGTTCCACTGTAGGTGGCAGTACAGATGCTGTGCTCGAAGATGCAGGAGCAACATGAAGCAACCATGTAACGAAGAATGCAAGGCGGGGCCATTTAACCACAGTATTGTAACCACGAGGCTGGTGATCTGGAGATGCTGTCTCTCATCGTCAGTACCCGTAGATTAAAACCTCTTTCATATGCAACGCACTGAACCCACCAGCCCTCGTGCCAGCTTTTGGAGAGTGCTGCTCCATGGACAACGCAAAAACCTAAGCCCATCATCAACACCCACGGTACCCGTTGCAGACCTCAACTTGACAGTCTCACATTCTTAACCGAAATTTCTCCAAAAGACTCAGGGCGCATGATACCCCAAATCCTGAGGATCCAAATCCTCACACCCTGAACCCCAAAGCCCTGAATGCGAAAACTCCGAAACGTTCAGCCGTAAAGCCGTGCCAGCTCTAGCTGAGAACACCTTTCCAGTCACCTCGGTCTTGCGCTTCATGTAGGGGCCTTAATAATTAGAACATGATTTTGGGGGCTCCTCGTTATAGTTATCGTAGACCATAATACCCCCAAACCCTATTCGATAATTATCAAGATTATAAGGCCCTTATAGATCACCAATCGTGGCCCTTATAGGCCCTTTGAAGGAACCCTACTCTAATCAGATAAGGTCCTTCCGTTACATGCAAGAGGAACCAGAGTCACCGTCCGGAGTCGATTTGGAGTTCAGGGTTTGAACACGGCGGGCGTTGAAAGGCTTAGGGATTCCCCCCTAAACCCCAGACCCTATTCCCTCGCCCCCAAGGCTCAAACCTAAACCCCCAAAATCCTGGACCCGGACACCTAGACCCTAACCCCCTCAAAGCCTACCCGTGGGCTCAACCTTTAGTAGGGCCCCAAAAAATTACATAAGCAAAATTAGGATAGGAATATCCCATACAACCCCCCTCATAATGAAGCCAATAAAGGTAAGGATATCCCTATAACATGCTTATGCTTATGTCCGTTTTGGGTCCCTAATTATAGGTTGGGGTTCATTGTCGGGGATGTTATGTTATAGCTACATAAAACCGGCAAAATGGTATAAATCCTGCATTACCTCAAGGATCTTATAAACTATGGGGATAATGGCATATTCCTCATTATGGGTAATGCAGGATTTATACCATCAACAGTGGTACTACGACTTGTTCAGTTGTTGTATTTAGGGGCTGGCTGGTCCTGGGCCTAGGGATTTAAGGGATTCAGGCTTTTCAGATTCATGGCTACATGTAGACTCCTGATTAACGAAGCACCCCCCCTTCTGTAGGGATTGTGATAAGGACGTTGTGGGACCTCACTATCAGTCCCCTGGAAAAAAGGGACATCAGCCCGTAGAGGAACGATTACACACCTACAGAACCCTCTAGGAGTTTAAGGCCGCACAAGGCTATTGACAGTTACCTACTCAGCCACTATGTAATTTCAAGAACCCTCCCCACTTCGAGACGTAACGTGGCAGGAGGCTACAACGTGCCAAATGGGAGTTTCCCAAAATAAGGAACCCTAATATAGTACCCTAAATAGTAGGATCCTTACTTTAAGGACCCCAAAACAAGGTACCCCGAATTTTCGGAAACCCCCAAATCTCTAACACCCAACCCGACCCAAGCAACAGCTGATTCATAGTTAGGCCCCAAACCCGGATATCCAGAAGACACCCTAAATACACAAGGCGAACAGCTTCAAACCATCAGCCGCAAGTCATGCCTAAGGGTTGGGGGGGGGGGGGGGGGGGGGGGAACAACCTGCTCTTCATGGCTCCAGATTGATACAGACTTTACATTGCTGAGGCTTGACAGAACTGTCTAGAGTTCCTCTGTGCCCCCACTCAACAAACAAAACCCTAAACCTCTACAAATCCTGAACCGTAAGCCTAAACCCCAACCTAGGACTACGCTCCTCTATGCAACATATTCACCGTGTGGCCTTGGGGTGTATTCTAGCACGTTTGCATAGGGACGAAATCGGAAAATATGACTAACCATAAAGGCTTATAACTAATTGTACATGTGCATACGTATATATGTATGTTTACGTCTCTATATCTAAACCTGTCTTATGTCTGTATGTATGTATGTATGTATGCATGCATGCATGCATGTATGTATGTATGGTAGGTAGGTATGTAAATGGATGCTGTACATCCACACCTTGAAACCCTTTGAACCGTATGCTCGCGTAGATGGTCTTTGGAGGTACTCAGAGTTTGTGCTTGGCCTTAAAGTTTCCTATGTAGGTGCTAGAAGTATTTCGTGGGTTTTATGCCCTCACCCGCTTGAACCCCTAAACCCCAACCCATGACCCCAAACCCTGAAACCTAGAGCCCTAAACCCCAAACCCTAAATCCTGAACCCAGAACCCCTAAACCTTGAACCCTTAGACCCTACCCTACCCCACCCTAAACCCCAAGCCCTGAACCCCTTGGAGGATCCCTTGAAGGAAGCCGAAAGGGAGCCCCTAGAGGAGCCCTTAGAGGATCCCTTAGAGGAAGCCTCAGGTTATACTTGGAGCTTCATGGGACGTAGTAAGCACAGTTCTTAGCACCTTAACTGGGGTTTTCTTTTATGATAAGTATAGTTAAGTTACCTTATTTATAACGCTAGTTACGTTCTTAGCACCTTAACTGGGGTTTTCTTTTATGATAAGTATAGTTACCTTTATTTATAACGCTAGTTGCTATGTCCCGTGAACCTCCAAGTAGGATGCCTTAGAGGAGCCCGTGAAGGACTACCCATGAACCTCCAAGTAGACCCTAAACCCTAGAATCCCTATAGATCCCTTTAAAGGGACCCTTAAAGGAACCCTTAGGGAACCTCCAAGTACCTTTAAGGGTGTAGATCCTGCATTATCCATAATAAGGAATATACCATAATTGCCATAGTTTAGGGTCCGAGTCCTTAAGGTAGTGCAGGATTTATACCATCAACCGTAGGATGCCTTAGGGAACCTTTAAGGGAACCCCTTAGAGGCGAAAGATGGCCTTGGGCGGGGAGAGGTCGCAGCCGCTGCGACGGCGCCAGCCGGGGCCGCCGGAAGCCGATCCGCGCCTCGCCAAGCTTGAAGAAGTAGGGGGGGGAGGGTTTAGGCTGTAGGGTTTAGGGTTTAAGGTTTGGGGTTTAGGGGTTCAGGGTCTAAGGGTTTGGGGGTTTTGGGGGCTTAATGGAGCTAAGCGAGAAGATGTAGGGGGGATTTAGGGTTTAGGGTTCGGGGCTTGGGGTTTGGGGGTTTAGGGGTTTAGGGGTTTAGGGGTTTAGGGTTCACGGTTCACGGTTCCGGGTTTGGGGTTTAGGGTTTGGGGGTTTAGGGGTTTATGGTATAGGGTCTTAGGGTTGAAAAGGGGGCCTTAGTAGGGGACACCGTGAGAATGTTGTGGGGCGTATAGGGTCTTGGCCTTGGATTTAGGGTCAAAAAAAAGGGACTCCATCAGGGACACCGGTTAAAGACGTCCGAGTTGAATGCTTGCATTCTACGCATCACGAAGTGAAACTCGGTCCCACCTTTGGGTCCACTCCCGGCGACAAGGGATTAGGGTTAAGGGATTAGGGTTTACGGTTTAGGTTTGGCGATAACTATGTTTGGCCCTAAACCCCCAACCGAAACAACCCAAACCCCTCCAAACAACTCCCTGCAGACTCGCGGGCTTTCATAAAGTTGGGCTTCCATGGCTACGCAAACCCTGAAAGGATCTAAGAGCAAGTAGAAAGTCTCGGGAAAAGGTTCCTTTAGCGGGTCCCTTCACCTGGTTTCTTAAAAGCGTTCCTCTAAAGGGTTACTGGTTACTCCAAGGAATACCGGTTTCTATCAGGGTTACGTGAATGGGCATTAAAGGACCCCTTGCAGGATCTTACAACACAGGACTCACCGAGCAGGTATCCCACCATCATGTGGGTTGAGACAAAGCAATTTCTGTGCTCTATGCTTTGAGATTCTTTCGGGGATCAGGGTATGTAGGGTTCCATATTATGATTATGTGCATATATGATCCCGGTTCTCCGCCCCCCCCCCCCCCCCCAAATGGTACCCCCCCCCCCCACCCCACCCCCCCCCCACCCCCCCCACCCACTCCCTAAGCCGAATCTGTGTGACTGCGCACACTTTTTGCACATGCGGGCCCCAAAACCGTCATCTGTCACGAGGATCGCGCCCCAAAGACGCCGGATCCGTGTGAGGCCGCCAAAGCCGCCAACTGTCATGAGGACTGCGTTCCCTGACAGGCCCGATCCCTTTGACAGTTGGCCGATTGCAACCTTTTGGCAATTGCCCCCAAAGCGACAACTGCCACAAAGATAGTGGCCCTACGATCAACAAAGCGATAATCAGTACCAGGCACGTGGGCAGAAGACACCCGACGACAAACCAATCAAACATTAAGATGCTTGAGTTAATGGTTCCCAAAACCCTGTACAGTCCCACACTGTACAAACGAATGATGGTGATCATCGTCCCCATCATCATTATTATTATCATCATAGGGATGAGTATACCAAACACCCAAAATAAACCTACAAACCTAAAAACGCAGGGGCACACCATTCCACAGGGGGGAAGGGGGGAACCACCCCAACCAGACCCACCCCTGCCCACGCCACACCACACCACGGGGGGGAAGCAACCCACCACCACACCACAGGGGGGATGGGGAGGAACCATTGGGGGGAGGGGGGGGGGACGGCCGAACCGGGATCATATATGCAGGTTGTTGCAAAGTTTTTTTGGGCTTTAGGGTCTGAGGATTGCGAATTTCAGCGATCTTCCTTCGTGCAAGATTTGTGACTGAACATAGGCGCCTTCATAATAGAATAGGGAACCCCAAAACAGTGAAATCGCTCGGACTTTGCGCCACAAACTGGTTGGATATCATGCGGCAGGAAGAGCTTGAACAGGGTTTTCCGGTTCAAGGCGCAAAGCGTCTGAACTTAAGCAACTCTCAGAACAATTATTGAGCCTTTCTTCGGTGTATACTAGTGTTTACATATAATTAATCACGAGCCCTAGGGAGTAATATCACTTTTTGTGGCGGCTTCTACTCTCTTCCAGCGTTCAGAGGCCTCCATGTGGAACTGCGTCTCGTGTGGATTGTGTGTCCTGGCTGCCGGGGAGTAATATAGGGGCCTTATACTAATTGGAATAGGGTTTTGAATTATGAGGAACCCCGAAGATGGTATAGGTAACCGATTTTTGAGGCCCCTTTCTTATTCAAGTAGCCTGCACAGGGTCTTCCTGCACTGTCGCTGATCTACATCTCGAGGACTGCCTCTTCGAGCACAAGCACAACAATAACCTTGCAAACGTTTTCCGATGAGGGTGCTACGGTTGATGGTAGGAACCCTGCATTATGCATACTAAGGAATATACCATAACTTTCATAGTCTAGGGTCCCTAAGGTAATGCAGGATATATATATATATATATATATATATATATATATATATATATATCATCATCAGCCGTATAGTGTACTAACTTCTAGAGATCTAGGCCTTGCTGGCTGCATGCACCAGCCCGTGAAAGAATGCTCTGTTCCCGATATCCTCGCTACAAGAAGAGTGTCCGTTCTCCTCATAAAGCTGAGAGAGCGGAATCATTATGACAAAAACCCTAAACACAAAACCCAAAAAACCTAAACCCTAAATCCACAACCATGGCTTTGTGAGGGCCTATTGCGGTATGGCCTTACATAGACTGTAACTACTCCGGCCCTTTTATTGCCCATTTTAATAAAGGCGGACCCCTCCAACAAAAGTGGTATAGGGTTTAGGGCTGCGGATTTAGTGGCAGGGGCGCTGCCGTACATAGAGGGTAGGATTAAGGACTTGTAATGCTTTGAACATCTTTACCCACATGTCTGAAGATGACCTACTTGCTCCCTGGTTCTCAGCAAGGACTGGAGAAACGGATGCCTGTGATTCTCCACAAGGTTCCGGAAAGTTGTCCTCATAACCTAGTCTTCCAGCATTACAAAATAGCCTGCTTCGGATGAAGCGCAGCACAACAAAGCCCAAGCGATCTCCAAACACCACCAGCAATCATCCTAACCCCCTATTCCACTACCAAAACCTCGAAAATCTACGCAACCAGGTAAAATCTGGTTCAATCTTGAAAGCTCTAGAGCCCTTGGTAACCAGAGTTCCTGCCGAACTCAGCTTTCTGTCATATTGAAAGACCGGCCAATAGTGACGTCTACCCAAGCAGCCCCTTCAACGAAAGGATTCCTGCTTCCTACTGCTCATTTCAAAAGGGAACCCACCCAAAAGCAAAGCACACACACGCACACACACAAACACACGTGCACGCGAAACAAAGAAAGGATGGTACCTGGGAAACTAAGTGCTGCAAGTAGATACTGCAATACTACAAGTCTTCGGTTCGCAGGTGCAGACTCACAAGATCACAGCACGAAAGCCTGCAGGAATCGGATTGGTAGGTTTGGCTTTGCTCTAGAGTCCTCTGTGTGTAGATTGAGGTGCTGGGGCATAGTATAATATACTGACCCTAAACCCTAAGCCCTTAAACCCTAACTTACCACTTATCAGAATGAAACCCATGGTATCACCATCGATGGTATCAGCATTGCAAACCCTTTAAGCTTCCAGATTATGCATTAGGGTTGAGGTCTTCGCTGCGCCTTTTGCCACGGCACCCTTAGGCTAACTGGCTGCCATCCAAGATCTTGGGATTTGCCAAAAGGTGGGGTTCTGGCTTAGGGTTCAGGGTTTGGGGCTTACCCCCCCCCGGCCCTAAGCCCTGAAACCCTACACCCAACATCCAACTCCAAAGACATCTTCCACCACGGCGTCGCCTGCACGTCATGGCCTCAGTAGGAACGAAGTGTGCATGTCGTTCGTCGTTCGGGGTTTAGGGCTGGAAGGGCTAGGGCCGTGTGGGGGTTTATCGATCCGCAGATCCAAGCTCGGCCCCTCTGCCCGCCACCCTCCCTCCTACACTTTGCCTGCCGCCCCCTTGTGATACAAGCGCATCCGAAATAATGACATCGTAGGGATACCATGCACAGATTCGAAACACTGGTTTTCTGACTATTTTTGACACTACGCAGAGCGGCCCGTGCATTCATGTCGGTGCCCAGAACAATGTAACATCCACCCTGGAATTCACAACGAGTGAATCTATGTCAGCAACAAAATGACCTTGTATCCTCATGCACATCTACAACCATCAAAAACGCTTTTTCAAAAAATAGCACATTATTCCGGTAGTTGGTGAGGGCAACAAGGGAGTTGACATAACGGGCTCCTTTTCTGGACTCACCAGAAGCTCATGATGACGGAAGAGTGACACCGACAAGGACACTCCAACCTCACATCCCGCAAGTCACACACCCGAACCCTAAACCCTAAACCAAACCCTAAACTCTAAGCCCCAAGCCCTAAATCCTAAACCAAAAACCCAACCCTAAATCAAACCCTAAACTCTAAACCCCAAAACCCTAAACCCCTAAACCCTAAACCTCAAAACCCTAAACCCCTAAACCCCAAAACCTTAAATCAACCCAAAACCCTAAACCCCAAAACCCTAAATCAACCCTAAACCCTAAACCCTAAATCCCTATACCCTAAACCCCAAAACCCTAAATCAACCCTAAACCTCCTAAACGGCAGGCTTGAGAGAAGCTGCAAAGAAGTCGTGGACGGCAGGCAGCTTCAATGAGCTCATGTGGCTGAAAGCCTGGCTTTTCGCTGCTTAGGGGCTTAGGGGTTTTAGGTTTTGGAATTAAGGATTTGGGTTTAGGGACTAGGGTTTAGTGTTTTAGGTTTAGGAATTAAGGATTAGGGTTTAGGGATTAGGGTTGAGTTTTAGGTTTAGGAATTAAGGATGAGGGTTTTAGGGTTTAGTGTTTTAGGTTTTTTTGGGGTTTGGGGTTTCGCTCATGTGCCCAAATGCCTGGCGTTTCACTGGGTATGGCTCCGGTGAGTGACGGAAGGTTGAAAGGTTTGTGGTTTAGAGTGTCGTTTGACGCTTTGCTTCAAGGCTTACATCCAAACTTCTAGCCGAATAAGTTCCAATACTACTCCTGAGGGCTCCTGATTGTACTTATGGCGTAATATACCCCGAAACCCTATTCTAATTAATAAGGCCCCCTATATTATAGTACCTTTCTTGTATCCCTTATACTAGCCGTTACTAGCCCTTTAAGGACCCTTTAACAAGCAACCCTATTCCAATCACTATGGCCCGCCAGGTTTGCAGTTGTGTACACTCTACAGCCTCTATGGGACCCAAGTGTGCTTCTGCATTCCTCTTGCAACCCACTTATGGCTTTGGGGTTTAGGGTTTAGGGCCAAGTTTAGGGTTTAGGATTACATGTTACTTCTATCCGGTTGCTGGTTCCGATGGAAGGTGGGTTTCTCCGGCCACAGTAGCTATTCCGTCCATGCCGCCAACGGTGGCAGGTCGACTTAGTTTTGTGCGTGGCGCCCTTCGGACGGCGTTCAAATGCCTGCGACTTGAGTGTCTGTTTGTTGCTGGTATTGATCGTACTGATTTGGGTCTCCGGTTCCGTCTTGACGGACTGGTTACAGGCATTGAAAACACCCTCTTGCTGAGGGCACGCACACTTTTGGGTCAATTTGTACAGAACCGGGCCAGCACTCGTGCTGCTCTGGCACGACCCCTCTGACCTCTTTTCTGACCTTGGACTTGTCGCTGCGGTCTGCACTGCTTCGGCCGTGCAACTGCACTACAGCACGAGTGCGCTACATGTTACTTCTTTGGAGCCACCTCTACACGCAACGACAATCCAAAACCGTTGCTTAACGACTAGACCCAAGAGTAACCTAGGAATAAAAAGGGTGCCCTTTTTGGTTTAAAGGGGATTATAAGGGAACCTGAACCCTACGAAAAGGGAATAAGGGCCTACTCTAGGTCCTAGACGAGTACCCAAGAGGCTGATCGAGTTCACGTGGCGGATGCTCCCAGGCCCCAGCAGACCGACCTAGGTTGGCCCTTTGAAGCCTCTGAAAAATATTCGTAAATAGGGTCCTATTAAGCCGAATAAGGGAAAACATAAAATATCCCAAAGGCCTACCTAGCGACCCTTTTCAAGACTTTTATTAGAGAAGATAAGAAGGAGCCCCCCAAAGGTAAGCTCCTGAGGGTTTAGGTGAGTTCCAATACACTCGGCGCTTCACATCACATGCCGCCATGTACGGGTCTATCCATTTCGATCCTCCACGATCTCTCTGTCGTCGGTTGGTGTCCGCCGCTTCCTCGGCCGAGTCGCCGCGACGCGGCTTCTTGGGCGGCAAATGCTCGTTCGTCCGTGCTGGCGGACATGCTCGAGATGCCCGAGCCTCAACCGCGAGATCGCTAGGATAGGGGCCTCCATCGCAAAGTGACATGTGCCATGCGCCATTCGTTGATGGGACTTTGCAGTTTTGACACCACTCATACGACAACAACGATGGGCATGCCCTCCCACAGCATCGTGCAATCTGGAGGCCTCCAGATCTGAAGGTTTCTGAAAGCATCTTCCCAAGACACATCAAAATCATCCAGCTGTCGTTGGGATAGCGCAGCCGGGCCGGCTCCCAGACTGTGGAACACACATATAGTAACCTATTATAGTGGCCCTTACCGTCCCTACATAACTGTTCCTTCAGATACCTCCCCAAACGTCCAATTCTGATCATTAAGCCCCAAACCAGAAAACATGCATCTCGCCCCGTCAACTTAGGCGCGTAAGTGTTGGTCTTGAACTCCGAAAACACACTCACAAGCTCTCCGGATAAACCACAATGTAATGAACCTGCGACAAGGCCGATCCTAAAGCCCTTCAATAGGCGCCCTGAAGTGAAACACTGCACCTCAAAGGCCCCAAACTCTGACTCGTACAACTCCAGCCCCACTAACAAACCCTTCTTTCAAAGGGGAACATGCAGGAGGGACCCTTAATAAGGACCCCTAGGTATATACCCTTAATATAGCTATTGTATACCCTTAATATAGCCCATTATAGGGTAGGGGTCCCCATTAAGGGTCCCTCCTTTTCCCCTTTGATGGAACCTCTTCAGAAACTTCAGGCCGTAGGCAAACTATGCACGAAGGCCTCTTATTTGGGTGGTTGTCGAAATTATGGTCCCTTTTCGGCTACCCTAAATAGTAGGTGCCGTATTATAATAAGGACCCAAAAAGGGACCCAAACTATAAACTTAGAGGCCCAGGGGACTTAGGTTATAAGTAGGGTTATAAGTACCCTAAATGGAGTTACCCCAATTATGACCCTACTTATAACCTACTTACTAAGTCCCCTGGGCCTCTAAGTAACCCTAAACCCCCCTTATGGAACCCTTATCCCTTTGAAAGAACCCTTTAAGGAACCCTATAAGTACACGAAGGCCTTTTATTTATGGATCGGCCTTGGTGCTGCGCATCACCGGGAGCAATGGCTTGGCCTTTCGCCTGGCGAATTTAAGGTTTGTACTATAAGGGCCTTCATAATTTCAATAGGGTTTCGGGGCCATTATACTTTAAGTACAATAAGGGACCCTCCCCCAAATACTATTGCTACTTATGTAGGCACTTGTTTAGGTTTTAGGGCTTCAGGGGTTTGCAGTCTAGGAGGCTCTGCCCGCTTTTGCTGGGTTCTCTGTCCTTCTTAACAGTTGAAATAAGGTTCGTTTATGGTCTGCATTCTGGTACATATTTTAGAGGGAACGTGAAGGGATACTACTACTACTAATTATTCGCCGCCCACCCCTATTTGCCCGCACCCATTTGCAAGCTTGATTGTTGCCCGGCAGTCTCTCAAGACAGCAGGCCTTTGCAACTTTGTCTTTTGTAGCAATTTCTCATTGCTGTTGATGTATATATATATATATGCATCTATGTACTTATTCATATTTATAACTACATATCTCTGTATATATATATGTATATAGTTAAGTGTGTATATACATATACACATCTACAATATGTACGTATGTATAGTGGCATACCCCTGCCATTGAACAACATGTATGTATGTATGCATGCATGTGTTTATATGCATCTATGTACATATATATATATATGTACATACATATGTATATGTATGTATGCATATATCTGTGTTTATATGTGTGTGCACATGCTTCTATGGGTGTATATATGTATACCATATATCTGTATGTTCGTATGTGTGTGTATATATATATATATATACACGCATGTACGTGCGTATAGTGGCATACCCCTGTGTATATATATATATATATATATATGTATCATATATCTGCATGTACGTAGGTAAATAAATAAATATACATATATATATATATATATATATATACATACACACATACGTGTGTATAGTGGCATACCCCTGCCCTTGAGCAACATCGCGTTGCAGAGAGTGTAGGGTCGTGCGCAAATAGGGGGGGTGAGGGTAATTATTCTGACTATTTTTTCGGCTTGGGTTTAGGTTCAGGCTTTGCATAAACAGCGCAAGAGCGCCTACACCCTAAACCCTAATTAGACCCCACACCCGCATCACCCTAGACCCTAACCCTTATATGCCCTAAATGTCTATATCTGAACCCTAAGCCCCAAACCTCGAAATCCCTAAACCCAAAGCCCATATACCCTTGACCCACAACCGCGCACTGCCCTGCACCCCTTCTACCCAGACAGGGCACCTTTGAAGCCGAGGCAAAGCAGCTGTCGAACCCTGCAGATGACAAAATTTGCGAGTTCAGGATTCGTTTTTTTGGGCTTTGGGGCTGGGGTTTAAGGCTTTAGGGCGCAGGGTTTCAGGGTTTAGGGTTTTACGGTTTTGGGGGTGCAGGCTTTGCCGGTTAGGGCCCATTACTACAGCAAACGGAGGTTAGACAAGGCTCAAACGGACATGTTTCGAAGGGTTGCCAGGCGTTTGGGCAGTGGCGCTTGGAATGTAGAAATCTTGGGGCAGCTCTCCGTGTTTGAGTTTCGGGCTCGTGGCACCAGTTCTGCGGTGTTTGGGCAAAGCCCAAACCCCAGTCCTACGTATTACGACTATGATTCCTTATTGTGATGACCATTGTTATTTGTTGTTATGACGAGTATCTTTGTTACTTTCATTCTTGTAATTATTATTATATAGGAGTGAACTGTTACTGTTCGTGTGAGTATAAAGACCTCCAAGAACGAAAACTTAGGCTTCAGGCTTAGGGTTTGCGGTTGAAGGCTGTGTGATCCGCTACGAAGGATAAAGTAAAACCCTCGACCTTCGGTAATGTTCCCCTAAACTCACTCACTCACATGCTGTGGACGTTCGTGCGATCATACATTCATGCCGACAAGCCTACTTGGAGGGTCATGGGACTTAGTAAGTAAAGATATAAGTAGCTTAATTGGAGTTTCAAGTAATTAAAGTATAGCTACGTTGTTTATAACCCTTATTGCTAAGTCCCATGATCCTCTAAGTAGGCGCCCCTACATCTTAATCCTTAACCTTCAAGCCAGTTCGACAGCAGAAACGCAAATTGACTACACGCAAATGTCATATAATCCCGAACCACCCAAAACCAACACCTGATGAAACCCTGCAGCCATAAACACCAAAACCCCAAACCTCTAAACTCTAAACCTGAAGTCGTTACGCCCCCGAGGGAGGATCAAGAAAGTAGAACCACTTGTTTGGTCACACACCATGAAAGCCCTGACTGAACCCTAAATAACCACTATAAACACTCTTGAGCCTGCAAAGCCGTATCAACCGCTGTACACGCCCATACTGTGCCGTAGGACCTCTACTTAAAGGATCATGGGACTTAGTAATTAGGGGTATAATTAAGGTAACTATACGTATAATTACTTATGACCCCAATTAAGGTACTTATAACCATACTTGCTAAGTCCCATGATCCTCCAAGTACAAACCTCACAAAAGCCCTAAAATCGCCTACTGGTCTAGCCCTGACAGACAGGCCTGCGGCCGCGAAGTGCCAGAGGGGCCTGACCAAGCACCAGAAACAGACTTTACCATGCTAAACTCTACCAGACTATACCATACTATACCATACCATACCATACTATACCAATGAGGGCTCCCGAACTAGTCTTATAAGAAGCTGGAGGCGTTAGAATGAGGAGTCCACATCCAAATCTAGTAGTACCATTCCTTCGAACTCCTTACATGTTTCATATGTGTGTGTGTGTGTATAAAGTTGTCTACATATATATATATATATATGTACGCATATTGAGGCAATATCTACCTATATATATATATATATATATTTATACGCATGTATGTACATGGTTATATATATATACACATACATGACTACATACACCAAGACCCTCGTCGGAAACCTGCCAAGGCTTCTGCAAGTGCAGAGCCATTCAGGGTCTAAGGGGGTTTTTAAGAGGTTGCATAGGAGGGTTGTAGGATGTAAGTCTTGATAAGGGCTGCGTGCTATTCCAAAAGAATTTTCCTGAATCTGTGTGTAGATCTATACCTATATATATATATATATGTACATATGTATGTACACCTACATACATAGACACACCCACATGTAGATCTAGCAACTAGATATAGTCTTAATTAGAAAGCTCGAGGATTTTGAAGAAGGGTTTGTGGCTCTGGCCTATGGGAAATTCCGAATATAGGGGACCCTAATATAGTGCCCCAATAGTAGGATCCTTATTGTAAGGACCCCCAAATAAGGCACCCCTAATTTTCGGAAACTCCCTTAAACCCTAAACCCCATAGGGCCAGTATAGGATCCCTTAAAGGAACCCTTATAGGATCCCTTTAAAGGTTCCCCTAATGTTCGGAAACTCCCATATAGTTTGGGTAGTCTGGGCTCCATAGTTATCCCGTTATCCCCTAAATGCTAAGGGTACCCCTGTGCTGTTTCTCCAACTGGGTGGCTGTCAAAATTATGGTCCCTTTTTGGGTCCTTATTGTAATACGGCACCTGATGATTAGGGTACCCAGAAAGGGGCCATAATTTTGACAACTACCCAACTTAATCAAAGAGACCATGTAAAAGACGAGGCGGATCGTGACAGTGGAACTGACAACAATGGCTACAGCTGCGTTGGGCTGATTGCATTAGCTAAAGAGAGACCCAAGAGTAACCTAGGCACAAAAAGGGTGCCCTTTTTGGTTCAAAACGGCTTATAAGGGAACCTCAGCGCTAAAAAAAGGCATAAGGGCATACTCTGGGTCCGAGCTAAATTTTAACGAGACCATCACCCGAGAGAACAGGGAGATAAGCGGGTTTGAGCATGCAGCTGGGGACCCCTAAACCCTAAACCAGAAGGAACGGCTCCTGCAGTTAAACCCGTTGGGTTTTAGGGTTGACCTTAAGGCTCCAAAGAGGGTCTTGGGCTTTCTGGAGCCTTAAGGGAAGGCATGGGGGGTTAAGGGCCCTGAACTTTGGCGCCGCTAAACTTTACATCTAGGCTCTAAACCGACCCGAACCCAGATGCCTAAACTCTCAACCTCCAAATTCCCAAACCCCAAAACCTCTTAATTCCCAGAACCCTAATCCAGATGCCTAACCCCCTAATCTCCACATGCACCTTAGTTGCTGTGTTCACAGGCCCCAAAAAGTGTACATAGTGGGTCATATTATCCCAAAAAGTGTAAAGCGTATCCACTGAGCTACTACTTGGAGGTTCATGGGTAGTTATAAGTGGGGCTATAAGTCCCCTGATAAGGGTTATAAGTATAGTTACCTAACTTATACCTTACTTATAACCCCAGCTATAACTACCCATGAACCTCCAAGTAAGGCGCCCCCCCCACTGGCACTTTCCGCGGTTCGGAGTCGCTTTGACTGGAAAGGCGGCATCTCGTCAGACTATCTTCATAATGGTTTGGGTTTTTTTTTTTTCAGGGCTCTTTTCCAACTGGTTTAGGGTTTAGGGTTTAATGTACCATAATTGTCACTCTACTTTACTGCTACAATATACTACACTGGACTTTAATACACAAGACTTTAATACTTTATGCTGATAGATTATCACACAATATCGTGGCATGGTTCGGGTCGACTCGAGCCGGCAGGTGTCGCAGATCGTTCTAATGGGCACTGCAGGGCTCGGCGGGCTCCCATGCAAGTTATGTGCGCATATCACGGGCTTAGGGTTTAGGGCTTGGGGATTAGGGTTTAGCATATGTACAGGGTTAAAAGGGGTTTCGTTTCTTATTGCAAGCTTGGGTTTCTTCACCGACTGGGCATCATGTATACTGCAAGATGTTGTCGTGACTACAGTGACGTCGACGGATTCCCGCACATAAATATTCTCCAAATTTGGAGGCTTGTTCAGAACCCGAGGTCCAAGAAAAAGGAGTGTGGGGGGAGGTAACTCACGGGGTCTTATAATAATGAGAGTAGTGTTTTGGGGCAGATTACCGTATGGTGATACCATGCGTTAGTGGTCCCTCTTAAACCTACAGGACAGACAGCCTTAACGTCCTTAGCCTTAGTCCCATCATTGAGGCCGCGAGACCAGCAACTTAGCCGTTAACATGCTTCAGACCTCTCATGCACGGGTTGGCTTTCAAACCAATTAAAATAGTGAATTCAGGAGACCATGACATGAAAGACTGATTAGTGGTACTACTACTACTACTACCACTACTACTCCTACTACTCCTACTACTCCTACTACTCCTACTACTACTACTACTACTACTAAGAGCGTAGTGCATAATTGACGCTATGCATTTCCTTAGTTCACATGCCCAAAACTCGAGTTTTAAGCACATTTCACTAATTCTCGGGGGGGCGTGGAATTCTGAAAACCTTGACTTAAGAATTCTATCTTTGGGATCTGGGTTTCAGCTTGAGAGCGGGGATGTCTTTGTGCTTTGGGTTTGATGAGACCTCGGATTTCGTACGAGGGCCTTGCTTTTCCTATGAGGGCCTTGCTTTTCCTATGAGGGCCTTCTTTTCCTATGAGGGCCTTGCTTTTCCTATGAGGGCCTTGCTTTTCTATGAGAGCCTTGCTTTTCCTATGAGGGCCTTGCTTTTCCTATGAGGGCCTTGGAATAAATTTTGAGTACTTATTCTTGGCTTGGCTTGGCTTGGCTTGGGGGGGGGTGGGGGTGGGGGTTGGGGAGTTTGGGGTTGGGGGGGTTGGCGGGGGTGGGCGGGGAACTTGAACATCATCAACATCATTCCTATGAGCCTTGCTTTTCCTATGGGGGCGTTGCTTTTCCTATGAGGGCCTTGCTTTTCCTATGAAGGGCCTTGCTTTTTTCTATGAGGGCCTTGTTTTCCTATGAGGGCCTTGGAATAAATGTTCAGTACTTACTTTTGGCTTGGCTTGGCTTGGGGGGTGGGGGTTGGGGAGTTTGGGGTTGGGGGGGTTGGCGGGGGTGGGCGGGGAACTTGAACATCATCAACATCATTCCTATGAGGGCCTTGCTTTTCCTATGACGGCCTTGTTTTCCTATGAGGGCCTTGGAATAAATGTTCAGTACTTACTTTTGGCTTGGCTTGGCTTGGGGGGGTGGGGGTTGAGGGGCTTGGGGTTGGGGGGGGGTGGGCGGGGAACTTGACATCATCAACATCATTCCTATGAGCCTTGCTTTTCCTATGAGGGCGTTGCTTTTCCTATGAGGGCCTTGCTTTTCCTATGAGGGCCTTGTTTTCCTATGAGGGCTTTGCTTTTCCTATGAGGGCCTTGCTTTTCCTATGAGGGCCTTGCTTTTCATATGAGGGCCTTGGAATAAATTTTCAATACTTATTTTTGGCTTGGCTTGGCTTGGGGGTTGGGGGGGTTGGGGGGGGTGGGGGGGGAGGCGGGGAACAGATACGACAAAAAGTCAGATGAAGCTGTTGGCATGAAGGTTTCGGCTTCAGGCTTCAACAAGAGTATCACAAAAAGTTAGATGAAGCTCTTGGCATGAAGGTTTTTCTTGCATAGTTCAAGTAACTGCTGACAACACACATGATCCGACACAGCTGAATCAACTGCTGACAACTATCCAGATCCAAAATTCCACGCCCCCCCCTGACTGAGACAAGCCATGTCCTGCGTACATCGGAAAACACAGTGTTTTATGCGGGCGACGTGCACGACAACGCAGCGTCAAATATGCACTACGCGCGTACTACTACTACTACTACTACTACTACTACTACTACTACTACTACTACTACTACTACTACTACTACTACTGCTACTACTGCTGCTACTACTACTACTACCACTACTACTACTACTACTACTACTACTACTACTACTACTACTACTACTACTACTACTACTACCACTACTACTTTTAGTTGTGGTAAGGGATTTTGAGACACCAGCGCCAGCTCTGAGGCCCGTGCCTCTCAAAACTCTTTCGGCATCTGCGGCCGAAGCTTTCGTTGTGTGCACCCGGGCCACTGTCAACATGCTTCATGTAGGGGCCTGAATAATTACAATAGGATTTTGGGGGTTCCTTATTATAACTATGGTATAACATAACTGTCAACATGCTAGGTCTAGCCTCGGTGCTTTGATCAGGAGGTTGGGTGTGTGTGTGTGTGTGTGTGTGCTGTGGTAGAGTTTTACAAAGACTACAGTGCTATATTCTGGGCAGCGCTCTGGTACCCTAAGAATTGCTCTTGGTTTCAGAGCTTTCGGGCCCCACCCTGTTGTAACAGGCTTGTCTTGAAGACTCATGTCTACTACGCGCTGGTGGGGCTGATGGGGCACCCGAAACCCTCGTTCTGCCTTGAGCTCAGTCCGACGACCCCCGAACACTGGACCTCAAGCGCCTAGAATAGGGGCCTAAATCTAAGTCCTAAGTCAAGTAGGGAGCCCCCAAAATGGATTTGCCCCTGTATTGACAACCCTCCAAACGACCTTCGGCACTCCATGCCGAGCCTTGTAGGGACCGTTACATACGACCACGTATACCCTACTGTACAGCCCTGGGTTTAGGGATTAAGGTCTTAGGGATTTAGGGTTTACGGTCTGATCAATCCCCCCCCATTTTG